GCCACAAACATGGTTTATAGGCCTGTTGCTGAAGCCACAGGCGCAGAGCCAGGGCTTTGATTCTGATGAATCTTGCTGCTCCATTCTTTGGGACATTCAGTCCGCATGGCTCTAGGCCGCTCATGACTCATGGCTGCTCTCTGTTCAAGCGTTCCATCGACCACTTGGACCAGAGCTGCAAGTCTGGAAAAGAAGGATGGCAATTGCTGGTTTCAATCCAGCCTAGTGCAGGATTGGGACAAAAAAGTTCCTGAAATCCAAACGAGCCTCAACATCCTCCGCTTCTTCGTGCTCCTCGGCTTCTAATGCCTCGCAGACAACACGAGCTGCGATAAGTGGCGCAGCTTTGCGGCGCTCTGCTTGGCGCGCCTTCTGTCGGAGCACCAGCAATCTTCTGGCCTGGCGCTGTGCACCGCACCACAACATGCCACAAAACACCATCTTCAAAAGGCTGCCGGCTCCGTGAGTGTCGCTAAGAGGCATCGAACATCGAAAGCGGATGTGCCTGGATCTGGAGCTTCCTGCGCCGCTCTTCTCGGCGCCGGTTCGCCGCGGCCAACGCCTCCAGCCGTCGCCTCCCAGCTGCCACGCTTGGACTGCAGACTTCGAGGAGTTTCAAGTCAGGTCTGCCGTCCAACTGCCACCGCATAGTGAAGAGTTCAGGAAAAGCATGCCCAACCCCTGCGCCTTCTCTCTAGATCCCGGGCCGTCTTCCTGCGGGCTTCCTCGGCCACCTTCTTCCGCGCCTGTCCCAGCTTCAAAACTGACAATTCCGAGTATACGAGTGTTTTTTGCAGCGTGCAGCTGCGACCTCCCAGGAGGGCACCAAAGGCAGCCGTGGGCCCGACGTGCCTCACGGGACCCTCACTTTTCCCCTCCGCTTGTTAGTTGAAGGCATCGGCTTGCAATTCGAAAGGCTTAGAAGTTACACCCGTCAGGTTTGAAGGGTTGCAATTGTTTTTTGCCACCTGCCAAGCAGACTCCTACATTGAGATTGATGGTTGAAGAGCATGAGCCCCACTCAAGAGCAGGAAGCCTACACAGTCGATGTCAAGAAGTCAACACAAGAGAACCTTTCGAAGTGAGGGAGCAAACGGTGATGTCATGAGCGACTTGAAGGTGTCTGTTGACAGACGGATCAGTTCGTCAGCACCTGTTGCTGAACCAGAAAGGGACCGCAAAGTATGGAACTGTGTGTCAATATTTGCTGTCGCATGGACAAGAAGCCCAGGTGGGCAAGATCTAATCAATTCAGGCAAAGTGGCAACAAGTAGTAGCCACCAACATGACATGACCCTCAAACTGGCCGTCCGAAAAGATTTGGCATCAAGAATGCGCTCATGCCGTGGGCACAAACAACTAACGACTAAACACCACAGTCGTCATAGCGTCCAGGCTGGAACGAGAGAGGCCCTGACCTTCGAGATTCGTGACGTCCGCGAAGCAGCCCTGACCAAGGAGCTTGCCAGCTTCTAGGATTCTAAGGGGGAGCCCAGGTCACTGTACAGGTGTGAGACGGTCTCACTATGGGGGCAAGCACCTGTGCTTGCAGGCGAGAACAGCTTGGAGCTTCAACTGACTCACTGAGTTGTCCTTGTTCCTCTTTTGGAACTTTTTGAACTGTGAACGCGAAGCAAATGTATGTCATGAGTGTAAAAGCGGCGGTGCCTCAGCGGCAGATGCAAGAGCATCGTCTGGAAGGCCCGACCTGAAGGGAAAGGTATTAAAGCAGATACTCTCTTTCATTGTTTATCTCGTGGGGCTACAGGGTCCCCCCCCGGTCATGTTCTCTCTCGTACTCTGCAGTGTCATGCAGACGGCATGTCTGGAAGCACTGCTCAGGACTTGCGTCCACAATTCAGAGCTCGAGTGAAAGTGCCCCACGGGCAGCCGCAAGTTGACTACACCCGCGCAAAAGCGCGTATGATGCAACTCTACCTCCAACTTGACTGATACTATGCGGTGAGTGTGGTCTGCTGCGTCGCAAGCATGCGGTGGTCAAGCAGCTGAGGCTTGCTCTGCCTTCTGTTCCTGACATGAATTTGCTGCAAGGGGTCGCAACGGCTACAAGTGTCAACGTGCGCCCCCACCTAACACATGGTGACGTGGTGTTTTCAAATTGACTCTAGTTGACCTGTGCTTCTCTGGCAAAGCAAAGCTGATGCCTCTGTCCAGGATACGGACCTTGGCACCAAGAAGCCCATGAACAACATAAAAGACTCGCAAGTCACCGCCTCGTTGGGCAGTGCGAAGCATTATTTGCAACCAAGGTTTCGGCACAAAAAACCTTTGGTCCTTGACAATGCCATGTGTGGGCTTGAATTAAGCTTCATCGACAGACGCTGCCTGGCATTTAAGAAGACAGCTAAGCTAAGTTGCGACAAGCCTGCGATGCTGACGAGATGGAGATGCTACTGTGGCATATCGCAGAAGAAGGCAGGTTGCCAAGGCCATCTCTCGATACGTTGGATGCCCTTTCCCACAGCAGGCCCCGAGTCTCCAGCCATCACTGTGCCGTCTGACGCTATCCTCAGCCAGTGGGGCCATGTGGCAGATTGGGGAGTCTGGTTCTGGTGGGGAATCTGGTTCCAAGTTGTCCATGAACCGCTTTGTGAAGGAGCCAACGATGTGTCATCCAAGAACATGCAAAGTAGCTGACCTGGGCTTCCGACCATGGGCATGTTCAGACCCAGCCATTCGAGCTTCTTTCCCTGCTGGCGAACAACTTTCAGTCTCGGGGCATCGTGCACATCATATCATGGCGCTGAGGATACTTTCTCAACAACATTTAGGACGACTGCCACCCGAAAAGGAGTTGACGCACTTGAGGCATTGCTTCAGATTCGCCCTCATGCCACAGATCAAATGTGTATCTTTGCTCAGCCAGTGGGCCCGCGCAATGCTCTCGCCGGAGCCTCGGACATGCGAATGACTCTTGGAAGGTGCAGATCGTGGTACTGGCGACAGATACTGCAATACGAGTGTCGTCTAGTCTAGACTAAGGGAAACATAACACTTCTAAAAGGAATGATCCCTGACACACGCACGCACCCACTCCGAATTTCCTAGCCGAAGCCTTGGTGAACATTCAAAAGTCCTGACCCCTAAAGTACTGCCGCGTCCGTGTGCCTTTCAGTCGTCCTGCCTGGCGTTTTCTTGATATGCGTGATTGTTTCTTGGTTCGCTCATTCAAGAGACATCAGCGTAGCTTCATCGGTAACTTCCGAGTATTTCGGCATCTTCGAACCTTTTGTGAATAAGACTGAAAACTCAATGGTATGTTCTGTTGTAGAATCGCAGATGTGCGATGTCGTAGTGTTCACGTCCTGGGTTCCCTGCGCGGCACTGACGTCTTGGGTCTCGCCAGAACGAGCTTGCTGCCGGGCAGCGGCCTTAACTCGCCAAGCACAGTGCTGCATGAACCGACTGCAGTCTGCTTTGCGGACCACTCACCCATGGTATCCCATGGTGCATCGGTGGCGAAGCATGGGAAAAAGTCTGCCACAGTTCGAGTTGAGTCGCTTGTTGCGGCTGCCTGAATTCGACAATGGCTTCTGAGGGCCTGCCAAGACATGCCCTCCCAGCACCAGTTGCAGATTGCGATTTGCACGAGACTTGATCCATCTGCGCCATAGGACAAAGCTACCCACCCAAATCCAATAAGGAAACGGCCATGTTGCTTTTGGAACGCGGAACCCACTTCCTGGCCTCCCGGTCGCCATGGCGGCTGCTCTCGCGGCGGCCGCTTGGGCCTGCAAAGACACCAGTGGAAAAGTGATCAAAGCGATGCAAAGCTCAATGTAACCATGCTTGCCAAGCCTTGCAGAAAGGGAGTCAGAATTCTGGTACCAAGCATTTCTAGGCAAAGCTTGTAGCTACTTTGAGGTCCGTTCTGGCCTCACGTCAGGCGACTTTGCGGGAGATCGCCCCGGGATCCGCGTCTGCCGAGCCTTCATCACTAAACTTCAGCACGGTGAAACCGCTGTATAAGAAACCATTCTATACGAAACTAAGCCCCTAGATCCGGATGTCCGGTTACGAGTACCCTTGAGCTACGAAACTTAGGGTGCCTAAGAGCTTAGGGGCCTGGGAAGGGTGCCTTCCCAGGCTCCTGAACCCTAAACGCGCCCCTAGCAAGCGTGCCCTTCCCAGGGTTCTAAGCTCTTGAGCCCCAAAGCGCCCTTTCTAAGCGCGCCCTTCCCAGGCCCCCGAGCTTTTAAGCCCCTATTCGCACCCTTCCCAGACGCCCTTCCCAGGCCCCTAAGCTCTTCAGCTCCTAAGCGGCTAAGCGGCTTCGAAGCCCTGAGCTCTCAAGCCCCTAAGCGCCCTAGTTGGCCTTGTTAGGGTGGGTGGATCAGTTGGTTGGAGGGATGCAGCATGCAAGTTCTTTTCTTCCCACATTGGCTTGCCAAGAACAGAAGCGGGCGGGGGCACCAAATACGGAATTAGGGTTTCTGCCTGCGTGGATTTGGTCCAGTGACTGGCATAGTAAAGCAGTACAGCGTACTCTCTTAAGAAAAAAAAACAGAAACCAAGCATACCCTAGATCAACTCCGCCCCCCCTCGAGGTACCTGGGGCAACGGAAACTAAGAAACTTCAGGAACCCTACCGCCGGAAAACCGTTTCTCATGCAACGTTGTCACTGTGCAGAACATAAGTAACATAACCATTGTGGTCTGCCTTGACAACATTGTTCACTGGTGCTTGATGGGTGCATTGACTTCAACCAAGGCAATCACAACTAAGGGAAAAACTACTCTTTTGCAACCCCCGGCCATCGCAAGAGTCTTTCCGGCTTCGCTTAGCAGACGGGCTCTGTGCGTATTTTGTGGCATATGTACATGACTTGGGGTTGTTCCTGGCGCAGCATATGTGCAGCCACACAAGTCGGGGAGTCTGTACAGTCGCAAAAGATTTGGTCCAAATGGTGAAACCACAGCCAAGACACGACGGCCCGGGCCAACAAGCGGGGCCGATAAACTCGGCTGCCCAGGACTCTCTAGGATAGAACAGGCCGCATCTCTGAAACCAAGCCATCCACCGAGTCTAAAATAATTCGATCCAGCATCTGCATGGAAGGAGCCCTGATCTTCAGGCTGGCTGAGCTCTCTTTGAAGGATGTCGGGCTTCTCTTTGAAATCTTGACCTCCAGACTTGCACTGGCAGCATCCTCAAGGCCTTCCTGCTGCTCTTCCTGCTGCGCTCCTCGTCGACTCCAGAAAGCAATTGGCTGAGCTTGGGCTTCTTGGGCATGCTTCAGGCGCGAGTCGAGCCACGACTCTTTCGGCTTGGGAGTGCCACTTCCATGTGGAACGTCTTTAGCAGAGTCGAACACAGCAAGCCCTGATCCCGTCGCGGTCTGTGGCACACGGACTTCTATGCAACCACCCTGCTGCACCGTCCAGACTCCGCGCGCATCGCTCGCCCGCCGAGATTCTGCGGTTTGCGCATCCGGGAAGTCCATCCGGCTGCCCCGGCTGCCCTGGCTGAGGGCGGTCGGTGCGCTCGGTGCTCTTGCCGCTGGCTCGGACGAGCTAGGACGGCTAGGTGCCTTGTTTCGGCTGGATGGCTCCGGTGGCTCCTTTTCTTCCATTGGCTTCCGGAGATGAACGTAGCGTCCATCTGCTGCGAAGACAGTCGTGATGCGGAACTTCTCGGCGCTGCCTGTTACCGCGCTATCTGTGAGGGCGCGCTTGGCAGGAAGAGCCCTGAAGGCCCCATCACCGCCAATTACGATTGTGCCAGACTGGCCGAGGCCAGCAACCTGCAGATCCCCTTGGCTACCCCTGCTCATAATTCTGAGAACCAACCGCTGCGGCAATCCTTTCTTCAAGCGTGCGCAGTCCGGCATGGAAATTGGTGTTTAAAGGATCGAACAAATTGCACAAGCAAGAAGAGTACTATCGTAAAGAAGTAAAAAGATCTGAAATGTCTAGGCTCCATCATTCGAGCGTGTGCAAGTTCTGCGCATGTCCACCTACTGCATGTAGGGGATTCGGGTAGACAGCAGGGGGTTTTGAAGTGGTGGCTGTCAGTTTGCAGAGGCAGAGGAGTTACATGGTGGCAGTGACCGTTCGGGGGGCCAACGCAAGAGCTACGCAGGCAGTATGCCTTGATCATTTGCCCGACGCGGTCAGGGCTTCAACTGCCGGAGCTAGGCAGCTGTGGTCCAGTGTGGTCACCGGCCACCCGGCATCTAGAAAGCCACGGAAGTGACAGTAACACGGGCAGCCTCGATGTTCTGCAGACTAGTCGACTCAAGCCGTCCCCGGATCTTTGATCAGCATAACACTCGCCGCATCAACTCTGACTGCAACTCTGACTCTGACTGCAACTTCCCACTGTGTGCCGGCCTTGTGTTTACACGCAAAAGCGGTCAAAGCTCTGTGCTCCGCTTTGCCGCGCCCGCACTGAAAACTGTTCTTCGTCCTTCTGTCTTCGGAAAAGGTCTGTGGCCACAAGGGAATCTGCAGACTCGTGGTGCGCAAGCATTCTCAAGAGGTGGGTCCTACCGAGTGCCCTCATGCGTCTCATGCTCAGGCGATGTGCATGGTCGAGTCTGACCGCATGTGCCTTCATCTGCCCTCCACAACGAATATTCAATGAGAACAAATAGGTGTGCACCCGGGATCTCCCGCGCCTTCCCCCGCAGGCGGCTCACCATCCCGCAGCTCGCTGCTCGCAGGTTCCTGTGGCCGATTTTCTGTGAACTCTGCGGACCTACCGTGCTTTTAAACGCTGTGGGAAAAACAAGGCTGGGAAAGCATCGAGGTGTCTGCGCTGCTCTTTGAAAGAGCAGGCACCTAAATATGTGTTCTGTTTATTCTCTCCCATTATAGTATATTCTGTTTTATATATTATTTACATACATATGTCACAGGATGTCAGAGGTGTACAATATATTCGTGATGATGAGCTCGGGCTTGCGACCAAGCTGCGTCTTCGGCACCTCGCCTGCCTTCGGCGCGCTGCGTCCTTGCCATGGGTGCGGTGTGGCCAATGTAACCACGCATAGTGGCATGCTCAATGAGGCTTGCAGATCTTGCCAATGCTTCGAGGACATGCAGGTCTTGCAGTGTCTTGCATGTCCGACATGAAAGAAGTGCAATCACCTTCCCCCACCGCGATAACGGCCGTGCAGCTCTTCTCTACGAGAATCCCACAACCTCCCAACCCAAGTTCCAAGTGAAGCTAATCTCTGAGACAGTCACCGGCAAGCAACGGCGACAAATGGGCTGCTGGAAGGTGCCTCCTGATCAGGACTGCATATCACTCTATGTCATGTTCTCATTGGCGTCCATCTGCTGCTACCCTGCCGACCTCAACCTGTCGATCTGACCCAGGCACCCAGTCAAAGCTGAAGAGCAAAGGGGGCCCACGTTTCCCTCAACATCCCTCAGCGTGTTACGTTTCATTGCATGGGCTGCAAGGACTCGCTTGCAAAGGCTTACTACATCCAGGTTCATGTGCGTGTGGCCTGCTTTGACATGTGTGATGCTTCGATAAGCTGCTGGCAGTCCGTCTATACACTGTCTACACAAGCACTTGGAGTCAACCGGTCTGCTCAGTCAGCATGGCATCACTTTATGAGCAAGACCCCTTCCCCGCCCAGCAAAAGAAATCCGGCACAAGTGTATACTTTCCTGTCTCAACCTTCGGCTGACGATTGGCTGAGTTCAGGACCTTGTCGGCTCCTCGGTCAGCGCCCGTAGACGATGCTCAAGGTATCGGGCCTCATGCCACGTAAAGCTGCAGCTCATCATATTGTGTCATCGCCGGTGTGTGAGTGACCAGCACACAATGGCTAAGCCCCGGGCCCAGGCTCGGCTCCTCTTGTCGTTAAGCGGCGGGAGCGATGCGAACGGCGCAATGTACGTCTCCATCGAGGGCTAAACTCTAAGACTAGCTCAGCCGCACGGCATGAAGTTCTTTTTAAGGGAGTCGGCGTGACTCTTGACCGGCTAGAGCATGTGATGTTGGGGTCGGAGTTGGAGTCAGAGTTGGCTATGAAAGGCTTGTGGTTTCCGAAGCTACTCCTCGGCTTCCGGTCGGGAAGCCGGGGTCACGGGAGCCAGTGCATTTCGACACCAGCGTTCATCGTAGGATAACCGGCAGTCCTCGTCATAGTGCGATAATGGGATAAATGCACTGGCAGTCCGAGTCTTCGGTGAGACGCGAGGGTGAAACACGGAAGGCACTCTTCAACTATCAGGTCCTTGCAAGAATTTGGGCCCTTGCATAGAAAGGTAGCGTGAAGCTCCTGTGCAGCTTCTATTGGGGATATGTGAATAAACTCCAGCCCGCTCTGAGGAAAACTGTCAGCGCATGGTATTCCTCGTTATGCACAGGACTGGGACCCACGAGTTTCAGCTCGACTCGTGCCTGGTTTTGAGAGAAAAAAATGACGTGAACCGTGAGCCAAATGACACGCGCACGGACATACAAGCCACACGCTACACGTGGACACCAGGTCCTCCCTTATCTGTGAAAGCTGTGCGAAAGCCACCAGAAAGGCGTGGCTCTGCAGCACGCGAGGTTCCTACACATTCATCCACATCACATCATGGCAAGGTCGGATCTGAGCTTCCAAGCAAAGTCTTCGTCACAGGGCTCCGTCTCCAGCACGGATACGGACCACGCAGAGTCCTGGACTTCATGCCATGCAACGCCCTACTCCAACATTCCTACCAGTAGACTTCAGTATCCTAATAGCCCAGAGCTCGTGCCCGGCCAAGACAACCTGCTGGCCGAAGCCAAGACCCAGCGGCTGTCCGGAAAAAGGCTCTTGATGGTCTGCCGAGTGACCTAGCTGCTCAAGCTCTGTACAGTACAAGGTTTCTGGCTGGTCTTCCGCCGTGCAAACGAGCTGGGAGACTGGCACTGAAAGGTGGCGGATTGATGCGGTTGCCTATGCAACACACAAGAACGGCGGACAAGCTGCCAAGAAAAGGATCGGGGCATATGCAAACGGAGCCAGCTGCACGTGAGTAGGGCAGCTTGTTCTGGTCGTACTGAACAGCCTCTCAGCGAAGCATCAGCATGTGGGCATCGAGATGTTGTCCAGCCCGCGGTTTCGTGGCAACCATTGTTACCGTACTCGGGGCCCCTGCTACCAAAAGGATCCTGCCACCTGCATTTCGACCACGGATGACAAGTCGACAAGAACTTCTCTTGAAATTCCCGTGGCCAGGCCTACACGCAGCAAGGCTGACAGGCCATCTGCATACCTTCAGCTATCTTTCCAGTCCTATACCCACCGATCTGCACATTGCAAGGCAGGCGACAAAGCATGCACACAGCTTTCTTTTTTGCCCGCCAAGCACGAAATACATCTGGGATCGCGGTCGCACGGCTTCATCCTCGTATTAGGCATGAACCATCCTCATCTTCAGGGGAGCTTTCGGCTTTTCCGGATTCCTCGCCCTCGGAACGACCCCTCAGAACCTCAACCTGCTTTGCAGCAACATCCCAGGCTCAAGGACTATCTATAGGCCGTGGCAAGATGAAGCCCACCATCCATGATGCTCAACAGTCAGTGCTTCAAACGCTTCAGCATGAAGAAGGAAGCAACTCCTGAGCGCGGTGGCTATGGCTGTGGCCCTTACGCATAGTAGCTGGACAAACTGCGAATCTCTTGCATCTTGCGGAAGATGTTGCCAGCACAGGCTCTGCTTGCGAACTGTTCTGATGACGTGACTGTTCTTTTCGCACAAACTCTTTTCGAACAGGCACTTATTGAAGGTTCACACGCTGCACGCTGCTCTATAAATTACTGCACTGAGGGTAAGGATATGGGAGATCATTTGCAGCTAAGACCATGACTTGCTAGCCGCTAGCCAAACTGTGCTGAAAGGCAGATGCATGACTTAGAGCGCGCTGCGGAAACTGATGATGAGGTACTGGCTTACAAACTGCTGCCAAAGATCTTCCGGAATCTCAGGCAGCCCGTCCAATGTCGGCACAGGGCAATGAGGAGGATGCTTGCCTCGGCTGTTGTTGCCGGCTCCAGCCTTTCAGGCACTACAATCCGCGATAGACTATAGTCTACCCGAGCACTCTTGCCGAACGAGATGCCCCAGTCATGTCGAAGAAAATGCGCACAAGGCTCGTAAGCGAATAGCCGCCTAGGCCACAGGAGGACCCGCCCAAGCAAGTAGCATTTAGCATACTACACTCTGAAACTTAGACCACCGTACACCTCTACAGGACGCAAAAGGCCATGCAGGCCAGGATGCACATGGTCTGCCGGATCCTGCTGCATTGCCTGCGAAGCCCAGTAAACATCAACCCATAAGCTGAACAAGTGTCAGCAGTGTTGCCGCGGTGTAGACGACTTTAAAGCCAGACATGAGGTTGGGACGTTCGCCAGCTCCTGAAAGCTGCAGGCCGACAATCCTTGTAATTCGGCAGCTCGAGATGCCTCTATTCCTGGGCTTCTAAAAGAGTTGATAAAGGCGCGCATGCCCAGGCAAGGTGCTGCCATGTGCTAGTGTGCTGGTATGCTATAGTGCCCACTCTGCCAGGATGCCACCGTAGAAAGCGCCGCCGGCGATGCCTGGGCCCGAGATCCTGGATCCACAGGTCCAATGTCGCAAGGAAGCAGCAACACACGTGACAGTTCAACTGGTTAATCTTCCTGGGAATGCCGAACAGAGCAGGTCCAACGTAGCCGAACGTGGAGTGTGCTGTGGTTACAGCCACCTCGAGCTGGGAGATGCATGGGAGGTTCTTCGGATCGCAGGTGACTTTAAGCAGACATAAGCAGAAGCATCAGTCTAGGACCGCCAATGAGTCAGGATGCACTGCACGCACGGCCTAGCAGCCAAAGGTCGATGAACGCCGTGAATACATGAGGGACGTCATTGGGTCGCTTCTTCCATGTCGCCGTCGCCAGTGTGAAGTTGTGGGTCCCGAAGTTCTCCACCATCTGACGGGCAAACTCGTGCCTCAGAACAATATGAGAATCTGAGTATGTCAAAGGCTCCCCTTCCTGCGCCTGTGCACTTCTGCATGGAACTGAGCACCGGACTCAATTGTGGCAGCAAAGATTTGGGCACCGGATCTGTTCTCTGAGAGCTTCTGGATGCATCGCGTCCACCATCCTGCACCTTGCGGGAACCTGTTCTGTGCGCAGACATGCAGAGGTGCCTGCTTTGCATCTGCATCAAAACGCGCAGGTGAGAAGTCGCCGAGGTGGTGCGCAGCCAAGAAGGAAGCCACACGGCGCTCCAGATGCGGAGCCAGGGAGCCAAAGAGCCAGCCGGCAACGCGCTTGAAAATGCCCACGTACTGCTGCCTTGTACTTGGTTCCTTTCGGAACCACCGCTCCAAGGCCGGCCGCAGGGCTGCGTTTCGAAAAAGTGCTGGGACGAAGTACTGGCATTGATCCCTCAACAGGACGTGCCGGGGGCGGGGTTCTGTGTTGGACTCCATCTCGGCCTGGCGACATGCAGCGCGCACACACACACAACCTCCTGGCAGCCTGACATGCACTGCAAAAATGCTCACTGAAATACAAATCTTGGTGCCCCTCAGACCTGGTTGGACAAGGCTGGGAAACCACTCAGTCGGTCGATCAAAGCGTCGCAGTCTGGATTCACGGTGAATTCGTACTCTACCTTACAGACTGCACACATTCATGAGCAAGAGTGGTGCCTGCATGAGAAAGAGCGGTAACAAAAGCCAACACAACCCAACACACTTAGTGAAAATAATGGAAACTGGAACACTGGAAAAACTCCTTGGCAAGTGTGAAAAGATGCTGCCTGAGGCCAGTAGCAGTTGCAGTGATGTTGTCGAAGGCAGACGCGTGCAGCGCCCAAGAGCAAATTGTGCCGGAAAGCACTTGCGGGCACCACATGTGCGAGCCCGGAAAGTCCTCGCAGGAGTCGATTTGCTTGTGGTACTCCAGGGTACTCAAGTGTCTTCGCTAAAAACCCTTGGTGCAAAACCCACCCAGCCAGCAGCATCATGAGTGTAGGGGGGTATGAAGGGTCACCTCGGTGCCGAGAGCATCCCCGCATAGGCGCTGCAGTGGGGACAGGGCAGGCGCACATGAGAGATGGGAGCCAGCGCAGTGGAGGGCACACGGGAATGTAGCCAGGTCCCCACTGCCTCTCCCCTGCAGGATACATTCGGCTCCCGGTCGAATCCCTGAGGCTACGCGTGTCTACATGTGCTACACCTCCAGGCCTGACTTCTCATTTGCCGTAAGACAAACAGGCAGTATCTGGCAGTCATCCGCAAAAATCCCGCAACATACCCGCAGTGACTCCTCCTCAGGCAGGGTCCCATCACCATATTGATTTGCCCTGGACCGGGGTCACTGAGTAGCGACCCCCTCCAGGGTACATTTACGCCGCCCCCCCCCCCCCCCCCCGAGGGTATCCATTTCCCCGAAACACTTCTTAAGGCTGGCCGTGTGCCAATGCATACTTTTGCTTCTGCACCACTTTCCCACTCTGCAAAAATGCCATTCGGGTAGAAGCGCGCCTGGGCACGAAACCGAAAACCACGACCCAGCAGCATGGCGAGCAAAACCTTGGTCCATGAGCAGAGTGTGAAACAGAAGACAGCGTCACTACCAAAGAAGCAGATGCGGCTTCGGGCTAGGCGAAGTAGCTTTGTAGCTTCAGTTCCAGAGCTATAGGTTCCTTCTGGTTGCAGATAGGACACTGATGACACCAAGCTTAGAAGGTGATTCCCAGTCATGCATTGACTGTTTTTCCAGAGCAGAAGTGGCGCAAGGGGCATCCCAAATTCATCGACCGCGCAACGTTTCTGAAAGTCTGCGAACACCTTCGTAGCATCTGCAAAAGCCCTATGCTTGGCCTGCAGCAGCTCTTCTCGCAAGCGCTGGCAGTCTGAGGCTTCCGATGCTTCCGAGGCCTTTGGCAGCTCCAGGCGGCCCTGTCCCGTTTCCACCGTCTGTACCCATCCAGGGCTTGCAATGACCGTCCGTGCAAGGCTCCAAGAGCCTTTGCCTTGCAACAAGCTCTCCAAGGCACGCCAGAGCCTGAGCATCTTCAGCACGCCATTGCCAAATGGCTTGAAGGGCATGTAGGCCAGCCGCAATGCTTCAGTTTCTGCCTCCCAAAGATCCACAGCGCCAACTGAAACATGCTCCAATCCAAAGTCCGTCTTCATCCCGCTGGCGCCATCGCCATGAATTCGGTGCAGTCGCAAAGAGTGCCCTTCCAGTGTGTCATCAGTCGGCAACGCTGCACCTCGGAATCAATCAGCGGAAGCGGGCGCGAAGTGACTTCCAATGCTTCGTACAGCTACTGCTTTCTGCTGCGCCTGCGTCCAAAAGGAGGGCACGAACTCGGGCCAAGGGCGCCGAAAGATACAGGGTGCATGGATCTGTCTCCATCTTCAAGCTTCCCGTGTGCATTGGATATGTGGCCAGAAGGCGCTGTGCGAGAAGAATCTGGTGGATAGCTCGGAGCAAAAGGGGACGTGCTGTCGGGATCTCAGACAGCATCAACTCAGAGACACCTGAGAGGGTCATGGGCAGAAAACTGCATGAGTATCAAGGACAGCCTCCCTTTCAACGTACACCCGTAAGGATGTGCATCGTAATGTTGCATCAAGGAAGCCTCGTGCTCGCCACAGCAGTTCCAGTTGTGCCAGACATGGGCAGCGCTGGTACCAAGTCAAGTCGTCAGAGGAGCCCGGTTTTCTGGCAGTGTGTAGAGAAATGTAGAGCAAACTCATCAGTTCAACTTCCAGTATGAAGGTTGAACAGGACCTATGGTGGGGGTCACACCACCTGACTCAACCAATGTTCTTTACTGCAGCGCACAACCTAACAGAAGCTACCAGAATCAAAGCTGTCGATCACGGCACATCTCCAGCCTACATGGCTAGAGCTGACAATTACGGTCCCTTTGTGGATCCTTGTTTTCGTGCGACTCCACAAACCGCATGCAATACAGGCTACACCGGCCTTAGACAACTTCCACATGGTATCATATGTTACCTGGAATGAGACAAGTGTCAATGCAAACAGAATTTGGTCCGCGAGAAGGACGTCGGGCTTAGAAGCGTTTCCTTGCAAAGCAAAACAAGCCGACAGGACCTGCATGTAGCAGCTGGATCAGTTCAAGAAGGCTTCCAGAGAGCTATCGGATGTTTCTGCTAGTGACTCTTACTTGCATGGGACGACCTTGGGAAATGTGCCGAGTGGCGCGAGCTTGGCCAGCCGGCTGCGGCTGCCGAGAATGCCCACATACTGGGGGCCCTCACCCCGGGTGGCACGCAGTCGCCTTCGCTACGTGCGTCCTTCGCCATGAGAGCACACCACTTAAGATACCAAGCAGGGATGCACAGGCACGTTCTGCTACCAGGCCTTGTCGAGCAGCAAGGAGCCCGCCAGCTGGAGGTTTGGCTGCAGAAAGATGGGCCAGGCACAGCAGGCATCATAGCTAAGGTGCGCTCGACTTCCCAAGTGGCACTGGGGATGCCATCCGACAGAGCCAAGCTTTTCCTGCAACATGCGAAGCCACAGAGGCCACAACGCCAACACTTATGAATGAAGTTTCCGTCCATTTCATGAAGAAGAGATTTGCTTGACCCTCTCCTCCCTGCCCCTCGGCTTGATAACCACATATGTGTGGCTCCGGCAGCATACGTCAAAGGTGAGGAATGCTTGCCTCGAGAGGCTTGCAGCTCAGTACTTCAACGTAACGTTGAACCCAACGGTGTGTGCCTATCAAAGCAAGTATAGACTTTGTGTTTGCATGTTTCTTTTGCCACCCATCTGGCAGTGCTCCACGGGGCTACTGCACGGCATTGGGCTATTGGACTCCTCCAAACCATTCCATTGTCACTCTCAGGAGCCCAGATCTTTCCCAGCACCGCGGGTTGAGCTGCATCAGCTTGTCTTGAAGCCATGTTTGGGGCAGAACCCCATGAGCTGGGTCTGTCGTCGTCCACCTGCACCGAGCGTTTGGGCAAGTCCGGAGAACAATCATGCCTCTCAGTCCGATGATGTCCGATGCCGAAGCGGTCCCCACCTCTTGCTAACAGCGGCTTCATGTGTGTAAGGGACCAGACCGATTAGCAAAATGCGCCAGAAGGCCATGGCGCTTCTACGGCACGCTGGCCTGAAACCTCTGTCTTGAGGAGCGCATCTTGACAGGCACGAAAGCTGAACGACAGCAGGTGTGGTCTGTGTGTGGCGCGCGTCATTCCTCTAAAGCCTCATTCATACAATGTCAAGTTCCGCGCTGCTTCCAAGATTCCGGGGGAAGTGCGACCTAGCAGCGCCGTGGCTTTGATGCACACAGACTCAAACGGCTGTCAGTTTAAGGCGGCCCAGTGGCCAAAGCATCGCAATCGTAGATGAGGTCAAACCTGACGAAGCCGGCAGCTTGTGCCCCTGCTACGTGACATGCCAGAAGGTGGCCTGCCATCCCTCGCAAACGTGGCAGCCGCCACAAGTTCGGGTGTGACGTCAAACCTGGCAACCAGTGTTCCCCGGCTTTGCTGGCCTTGCAATGCCTTGCACGCCTCAAACCTTCCATCAAGCTGTTGACGGACGTTCTTTGACGATGTTTGAAGCTGAGGCTGAGGCATGTCATCCTCGATGAGGTGCAGCGGAGCATGCTTCCTGCCAAGATTGACCTGTCAAGTTGTGAGATGCCAACTCGCATGCCATACCAAGGTGCCCAGAACCATTTGAGAGTTTCACTACTTCATACTACTTCACTTCACTAAATGACAGTGGAGTCTACCTATTCAAGGGCACTTCTGCCTTGCCACGCCACACTGCCGGACGTTCCGAGTAGTAACCCAGCCTCGGCCGAAGAAGAATGGACCAATCACTGAATTTGCTTCACACTGAACTTTTTTCTCCAAGTAGAACTCGGAAGCATTTTTGAGTTAGCAATTGGGGCTGCTACAGCCAGAAAAGATACAGTTCGAGCGTGCTCCAAAGCACCATTAAGTGAGGCCCTGGCCCTCTGTCGCCCGTCTTGAAGGCTTGACCACATCTGCCAGGCAATAGATGGAGAGCGCGTCCCCCGAATCATGCGTCTCCCCCGTTCTTAGTTTTCGAGGGCGAGGGTGGTTCTGAAGGCCTCTAGATGGGCCCCAGTCCCAGCCCAGCAATTCCTATAGCAAGTCAGGCTGTCTGGGCCTCCGGTTTCCGAGCGCAGGCACAGCAGATGTCTGCAAGTGCAAGGCGGGCCTGGGTCCTTCAAACTGTTCCGCAGGGCGGAAAGAAGTCCCTTCCCGCCAGCCTGAAAGTAAAGGCAGGGCCAAATGGGAGTCCAAATGTCTGAGTAACTGAACCGCAGTGCATGAACATGTCTCCGCCAAAATGCGGGACAACGTGGCCACAGCCTTGCTCGTCTTTTGTCAGGAAGGTCTTGGACTTCATTCCCTTCACCTTCTGCAGCCCCATGTGAAGACAGCCGGTAATACACTTATTACATGACGCAAAGCAGGCCGCACAACCCGAGATCGCGACGCGTATTTGGTGCTCTGCCTTGAACTCAAGGATGGCTCGCGGAATGCCCTGGCGCTACGCTTCTTTCTGCCAAGAAATGAACGAAACATGTTGGCATGAGAATCGCGACGTAGCTTCTCTGAGCCTCTGAGCCGTTTGCTCCCGTCTGGCACCCACTAAATTTGCGCAGGCCTCGACTCCGACAACGCTGAAGCCAAGCTCGCACAAGTAGGGCCTGGAACGTCAGAAGGTGCTTTCAAGGTGTAGGATGGTGTAGGTTTCCCGTTTCTGCAGCCGGTCTGAAGCCGTGGCATATCCACAGACTTGCCGCAGAGCGGCACCAGAACCTCCGGGCAGCAGTGGAGAGGACAATCAGCTCCGTGTATTCTCTTGGATCTCTTGGTGCTTTTTGTTCAGGTGTCTGATGTCTTTGCATGTCTCCGCTCTATCAGCATTGGCCTTTGTCTCCGCGGGAGCAGAAGACATTCCCTTCGACCTCAGTGCCAGTGGGTAGTGAATTGCTCCCAGGTACGTTTGTCAGAGTCTTCCTGTAACAAATATAATCCGGTTGGAACAAAAAACAGGAAACCGAGAGCAGGTCCACTGGGCGAGGTGCTTCTCCAGGTGCGGGTTCACCTGCCAAAAGGCCGTTCTAAGGGTGTGCTGAGCGTGTCGCTCCACACGGCATGGAGTCATAATTGAACCTGTTCGCCTAATCCTCCCGCTCAACAGCTATACCCGCACAGTCTGAGCCTAATGGAAGCCTGCGGTCCATGGGCAAGCTTTCTCAGCCCGCCTCTGTCTGGTGAAAGCTGGGCGAGCTGCCTCAGGCTCCCGAGCAGCCCAGACGACGGCTTCGACTCCCACAGCTCGTGGCAGGGACACTGAAGAAGTGAAGTAGCATACAGTAGCAGCTGGGACGTGCAACTCTAAACCGTGAGCCCATACATTGGTAAGCCAGCGTAACCTGTAAGAGCAAAGACCCAGGCCAAAGAGAGCACACCCCCACGAAGTATAGAAACAATCGAGGTGTCCAAGCAAAGCCCTTCTAGCTCAATTCGGCCAAGTTCTGCAGTGCAGCCTACAGGCATCTACACGCCGCAAAGGGCCGCATAGGCGAGACATCATGCCTTGTAGATTTTCCGTCAACGCACTCCATGCTGTCCATGAGATTCTTCCAAGACACGATTTGCAAACAAAAAAGCGCGCGGAATGTAAACGAGAATGCCCCAAAGATGCCAAACGCCACAAAGCTCCCCCAGGACAATCTTGCCTGAGGGGAGGTTCCAGTAAACAAGCGACCACCTGATCAAAGTGCAGGTCTATGAAGAACACAGGAACAGGAAGACTTCAACCTGTGCTGTTGATGCCTAGAAACCTTCGGAGCCGCAGACACCCGCATCGAGCACCCATGGTACCCATCATGCTCAGGCCTCTTGAGTCGATCGACCCCGCCATGCGGCGCAGGCTCGAAGTAGCAGCTCGCTGTACCCCTGGAAAAAAGCACCCACAAGAGCGCACAAGAGGACTCCAAGATCAGATCAAAAGACTCTGCCACTGCACGCAAGTTGTGCCTCGTATCTTTCATGGCCGCCAGGGCCTGCTTGAACAGGGTTTTCGGATTGATTGAGCATGATCGAGCTGTCTTCTGTTGCCATGATGCGGTGCTGTGATCAAGATGCTGTGACTTCATTTGCTCGAGGTGATGAAAGCAGCAGGGCAGGCCATAGCGCCAGCACCGGCCGCGGCGCACAAGAGTGCCCAGGTCGCCTAGACGGGAAGGCTGCCTTTTTCATGTTACAAGCTAGACATCGTGATACAAGCTGCAGTGGTCTGACCTGAATCATTGCTTGCCATGCTGCCACGCTCGAGCCGAAAGCATCCGACGCCTCGCCATCATTCTGCGCGGCAAACGGCGAAACATGCACGGCACTCCTCAGGGGCAGATGCTCACACATGAAGCCGTTGGCAAATGGTGGTCCCAGCTCCCAGAACAAGAGATCAATCATGCGTAACAGCCACACACCCTCTGCCCCGTACGGCTCACGCATGAACAGTTCACACGAACTATCACCCGCCTCGGCAGCCAAACGGCCCGGCTCTGCAGTGGAGCGCCTGGAGTAGGATTACAGCAGGCTTGGAACTCAGGGAGCGCTCAGCGACATCTTCAAACTCTAAACCTCCTGCCTCGAGGGCCAGGTGCCTTGGAACAGACTAGTGCGGCTGCAATCCATGTCACCCTACAACATGCGCCAACACTCACTGCATCGGCAAGGGGCACTCTTCGAGATGAGCAGCTTCAGCCTCTGATGCAAGGGTAGGCTCCACCTTCCGGGGGCAATGCGCAACAGGCAACGAAACTCCGGCTTGAACTCCACTCGCCACGTTGGAAGACCCTGGCCGTGACTCCGTGACATCAACCTTCGCTGCGCTTTCCCCGTAAGCTTACTCAAAGCTCAGCCTGCGGGCTGCCATCGCCAACACCGGCACCTAGGCTTTTGCCGGTCACGGCTACCAGGCAAGTTGCACCGCAACCTTCTACTGGTTGGTTGAGCGCATGCGGGCAGACTTGCTTGCAGACAAACCTATCAAGTGCAAGCACAGAACCGATTCGCCGACAACCGACAAGCCCCAACAGGCTAAACTACGGTCAGCTCACCTTCATCTTCGCGCTCGATCATGCCGACTGCTGCTGGTGTGCGCTCGTCGGGCGCCCATAAAATCTATACATTTGCAAGCACCGGAGCCCCGAGCAGCCTTCACAACCGGACTTCGTCCCAGCTGCGTGCGCTGCAAAGGAGTTGCTTCAGTGTGGACACACCAAGCTGGACTCTGCCAGTTTGTGATGTCGCGCATCAAACCTGGTGGTGGTTAAAGCCAAGCTGGGTGTCCCCTTAGCTGGCTGCAAAGGTAGGGCTGGCCGCTGGGGTCTCTGAATGAATCAGAAGCGTGGGCTTTCTGTGGTTGGCCAAGGAAGGCAAGTCCTTTGGCTGTCGTCGCTCCGAGGCTTCTTCAAACTGAAGCCGAACAGGGATGAGTGTCTTCTTACCCTCCCCAAGGTGGAAACCATGACCCTCCAGGAATCTCAACGCCCGAGTGTTCTCGGCAAAGACCTCGGCCTTGATGCAAGAGGCCCCCTCTTCCTTCGCTACGCTGATGAGCGCCTTCAGCCTCTCAGGATGCTCTCAGGATGCTCTCAGCAGAAGCGTGTGGCCATGGTCCACCCTTTTCTTCTTTTAAGTTGCGACAGCTTGCCGAACCACAACATACCACAACTGCAGCTGAGGGACATCACAGAACCTAGACTCTTCCTCCGAAAGCTTGGGAGCACTTGCAACGCGAAGGTCACATCGTTGCTCATCTGCTCTCTGCTGATTCGTCCGGCTCCGACAATCATCTTCTCGCCGTCCTGCACCGCCTGGAGTCGCTGACAACTGCGAGCCGAGCAATGATGAGCCCGGCGGCTTCACTTGCTTCACAGTCCTTCTATTTCAAATATGCCAATTTGCTCTGAAGCCCTTGCGTCTAAACTGCAGTCTGTCGTGCAGATTGCCTGCATGAGCCACCCCGCCTCCGCAACCAACACAATCGACCGGTCAAAGTCTACGAAGCAGGTCCGGATGAGGTGCGTGCGACTTAAGCTGCATGTCATCTGAGCCTGGCAGTGCGCAGTCCCTGTGACTCAAAACCCACGAGACCATCTGCCCTGTCTCGTTCCAGCCTCCTCCTTCGGCATGGACGCCGGGTCACAGCCACTGGGCCAGGACGCCTCGCTGTAGAAGCTGCGCATCATGCGCTCGTCCTTTCAACTAGCGACTTGTCATGGCCAGAACAGATAGATATCAGAATCAAAACTTATGTGAGAAACGTGAAAAAAACTCTCTCACAATCCCCTCTTCTCCGCGCCCACGCCATGACCCCCTACCCACCCCCTACCCCCGACCCCCCTACCACCTACCTCCTCCTCCCCCCTCTACAAGTCTATGCAGGGTAGGGGTGTGAAACCCGAGAAGTCCTCTGGCAGGATCGGGCGGATCTTGGCCTCGGTGGAGACGGCTTCTCTACGAGAGTACTACGAGAGTACTACGAGAGTACTACGAGAGTACTACGAGCGGTTGAAAGATCCGTAGTCATAGTGACAGCATGCGGGTGATGCAGAAAACGCTGGTGCGTGTGGGTTCAAGAGCCATGTGAGAAGTGTCTGGGCGAGAGGCTGTCATCTTGTCTGTCAGCTCAACCGTCTGAACGTACTGGTGCGGATAGGGTCGGATGGCTGGTTGAGGCCAGTCTTCCGGTGTGCTGCTGGGATCGTGGAGTACGACCCGAGCATCTAGGGAGAGGATAGAATCCTCGGATGCGATGAGGGGGTTGATGTCACATTCCAAGATCTCCTTAGCTGTCCCAAAGGGCATATGTCACTCTACCAAAGGCTCCGGTCTGGCAGCTTATCGTCTTACAGATGTCACCAGATACGAAACAAAAACCTTGCTCTGCGCTTGCCCTCAGAGTGATAGCAAGTCTCCGGGAGGTCCACGATGAGAACAGAGAAGCGGACCATGATCTGGATGAGGGCCTCGATGTTGACACTCTTCATGCCGCGAACTCCAAGCAGCGCCTTGTAGAGCTTCGTCTCCTCGAGCATCTTCCGGGCCAGGTTGGCATTCAGCGGCGGAAGTCCCACGGCCGAGTCCTTGAAAACTTCAACCAGGGAGCCGCCCATGCCAAATAGAAGAACTGGGCCAAGCTGTGGGTCGATGGATGACCCCAGAATGATCTCATAGCCTGCCAGACTCAAATCGACAAGTTTTTTAAACATGGAGACTGGGCACGCGTCAGCTGTGGGAAGGTGCGCCTTTCAAAGAAATCATCGGCTGAATAGTAACGCCCTCGAAACCTTCCGGAGAGGCCAGTCTGGAAACGCTCTCCTTCATCTCCAGAAATGACTTCTCCACAGCCATTTTGCTGTGAAGATTGAGGACGACTCCACCAACCTCAGCAAACGATGCTCTGGGCTCTGGGAAGCCTGCAAGATGTCACGGCTCCTGAACGTACACGCCTTGAAGCCTCTCTAGCAACGTATCCTGCAGGAAGCAACCATGCTGAAGTTCAACGTTGTCCCGAAAACTGCTTTGAGATTTCTGAGGCAGGAACATCTGTCTTGTGCGTGATGGTAGTAGAGTTGAGCTTCCTTGACTCCACATGTCACTTGCATTACCCGAGTGCACCATAATGAAGGGACAGGATTGCCAAAAAATGGTCAGATCTGAGCGTCATTACCACCGGGTACCCAATCTTCTCCGCCGCAGCCGCAGCTTCGGCGGGGCTGGACGCCACTTCACAAGCGGTCACCTGAGAAAGCTTCGGGCTTCGCCCAAGAAGTCATGTGCCATAAAGACTGCAACTCAACCCTGCAGCTCCCCACCTTCAGCACCGTGTAGGAAGTGAACCCTCGCCGCTAGCCCACCTTAAACCAATCCCAAAGCTTTTCATGGACTCCTTGGCAGGTGCCAGAAACACGGGTACCTTAATGCAAAACCCTCAACCCTCAACCCGACCACACACAAGCTTCAAAACATAAGCTTGTGCCTTTACTTGAACTTGCACCCATAGGCATGAATGGCCTTTCGTTCAGCCTGTACAGAGCCTGGAGTGATATTATATCAGTAAGTATACGTAGCTGTCCAAGATGCGGGGATGCCATAGGCTTTGAGAAGCAGCTTGCTCTCCTGGGCTTCAATTGCTGCTGGCCATGGTGCAAGCACAGGAAAGGCCCCTGCACGTATCATCATCAGCAGAGCCGATCTGTCTGTCATCTACCTATGACGCAGGTCTTGCAACATCTTGCCACCTTGCCCTTCCAACGACCCTACTGGTTACACGGTTCCACCATTTGCACACGGTTGGCACACAATGAAGCTCGCCCAGCTTCCGCTTCCGTCAACAGCGACCTCCCAGACTCCCGCACTTTGGAAAGCAGTTTCCTCGCTTCGGTCTTGCCCTCCTCAGCTGCAGCTTGGGAGCAGATGTAAAAAGAGTTCAAGATGTGTGCAAGGCGTACTTAGCTACAGCTACAGACCGGACATGTGCATGTAGGGTGCTGTGTGTGCTGTGCGCGCTGTGTGTGCCGTGTGTGCTGTGTGTGCTGTGCGCGCTGTGTTGCTGTGTTGCTGTGTTGCTCTGTCTTTGTGTGTGTGTGTGTGTAGGTCTGCTTGAGCTGGCCTGGCCTGGTCTGCGCGTGCAGGTTTGTGCGCCGCACGCAGTAAACAGAAGCATCGATGGTCCAAATCGTCGAAAGACGACGTGCGCAACAGTGTCAGGGCTGAAAGTTCCTCGCGGAGGTCCGACATGGACATCTACGCACACCCCTTCTCGTCCCAGCAGCCTGCACCTTCTCCAAATCCATCTGCAAGTCGATGCGCTCATAGTTGCTACCCTGGTTACTCTGGTACTGGTGCATGTAATTGAAAGTCTTGCAGGCCATGTCAGGATAGGAGTAGGTTGGAACCCCTGCGTCGTTCAGGACCTTTGCGCCAGGGGCGACGTCAGGTCCGCCCATCCAGCTCGCAAGCACAGGCTTCCCCTGGATTTTGGCATAGTGCGATAAAGCTTCTGCACATTCGGTGGGGGCTGTCATGGCCTGAGGCGTCAAGATCACGAGAAAGCCATCACAGTTGGGATCCCTGGCGACAATCTCCAAGCTGTCGGCATAGTGCTTTGCGGACGCATCTCCCAAAACATCGATGGGGTTCCCATGGCTCCAGGCCGGTGGCAACACCCCGTTCAAAGCCTTGATGGTTTGAGGGGTGAGTTCGGCCAGGCTGCCTCCGTGCTGTGCCAGAGCATCGCATGCAAGGACACCTGGACCACCAGCATTCGTGAGGATAGCTAGCCGATTGCCGGTAGGCAGCGGCTGCTTGGATAAGACATCTGCCTGTGCCACATCAACATGACACCGTCTATGCATTGCCACACATTGATTTGTCCCCTATGCTTACACTTCAGTCCAAGTAAAGTGCCCCCAGCGCCACCCCCCCGTGCATCGCAGCTGCCATCTCGAAGAGATCAGACATGTTCTCGACGCGAAGCACGCCGGCTCTCTTAAAGGCTGCATCCAAGACGGCGTCGCTCCCGGTCAAGCTACCGGTGTGGGAGGCTGCAGCTTTGGCTGCGGCATCGGTGCGGCCACCTTTGATGACGATAATGGGCTTCGTAAGTGCTGCCTCTCGGGCAGCAGACAGGAAGCTTCGTGCATTGCCGATAGACTCCATGTAAAGGACAATGCTCCTGGTTGCTGCATCTTTGGCAAGGTAGAAGATCATGCTGCTGAAGTCCATGTCCAGCATAGACCCGATGCTGATCACGGCACTGAAGCCAACTTTCTGAGACACACTCCAGTCCAGTACTGATGTGATCATGGCGCCACTTTGGCTGATGAAAGCAACACTCCCCTTCTGCGGCATCAAATTGGCGAAGGATGCATTGAGCCCCGAAGTTGGGCAAATGATGCCGAGGCAGTTTGGCCCAACTATGCGGATGTTGCCCGTCTTGGCAATGGCTTTCACCTCATTCTCTAACCTTGGCAAGGCATGGCTGCTTCCTCACCTGCCCCTGTTAAGAGACTACACAAAGGCAGGGATCGTGGAGCCAAGTTGCTTCTCTCCCTCTGCGCCAACCTCCTTAAAACCCGCAGAAATGATAATGACGTTCCGCACCTCGAGCCATGCATGCATCGTGCAATGCTTCTCTCGCATGCAACATCCTCGCAATCACCATACATCACCTGCCTTGTTGTCAACGCACTCCTGGATCACAGCGGGCACGGTGGCAGCTGGTGTGATGACCACAGCCAAGTCAATCTGACCAGGGCAGGCAGCGATGGACTTGAAGGAGGAGATGCCCAGGACATGCTCCCTCTTGGGGTTCACAGGGTAGACGACGCCTCCAAAGGGGTTGCTGATGAGATTTCGAAGCAGGGTTCGACCCACACTGCCCTCACGGTCTGTTGCACCGATCACGGCCACTCGCTTGGGCTTGAACAAGGAGTCCAAAGGGTGGCTCCCCTCTTCCAGCACATCCACGACGGGATCTAGCACGACAGCCATGGAGAAGGCTGCGTCTCAGGGCTTCTCTAGAAATGGGAAAGCCAGCTGGCGGCAGCATGCAGCAACAATCAGCAGAAGCAGACGTCCACCGCAATTTGCATCCATACCTACAAGTAGCCTACAACTCGAAGTACTTGGGAGAAGGCTTATTAATAGCATTTATAGTATTAATAGTATGATAGTATTAATAGTATTAATTGTATTAACCGTATCAATTGAATTAATTGATTGTATGAATAGTATGCATAGTATGCAAAGTATGAATCGTATTGGCTTGCTTGATGCCTGGAGCATGCAGGCCTGAGATGCCGGCGTTGCTGCTCAAAGGCAGGGTTGAGGCCCCAGCCCTTTGATTATGAGCCAGATCGTGGCAAAGGCAGGGGAAAGATAATTGCTCTCCATCGCTAATTGTTGCAGAGTTTACTCAGGTTTCTGTGGACCATGACAAGCAGCAGGCGAGCAACACGAGCTACTACTCCTCTTTTTTGGTCGGTCAGTAGAGCGAGAGTTCATCCAACACCTCGATGCAGTTGCTGACCCACACCTCGGTCTGGGAAGCCAAGCCCATGAAGTTGTCGTTCGGAGTCTGCCATCTACAAGAAAAGGGGTTGCGGCATACTCGGTAAGCATGATTGTGGCACTCTCCAGGTGCAGGGCTGTCACTTGGCTGTTCTTTGCGCCTCCGAGGCCAGAGCAGGCTGTGGCAAAGTATCCTAGACAGTTGCGAACGCCCTTTGGTCCGTTAGTCCATCTGTCCACGTGTTCTTGTTAGCGTGCGTGTTGCTGAGCTGTACAACCTCTCTTCTCTCCAATGCTTCGGCAAAAACATACTGACACGCATGCGATTCATCCAGCGCGTTCAACAAAACTGTCACAAGTCGTGATACAAGAAGACAAAAAATCATGCAACTAAACATAACGAAACCGTTTCTTCGATCACAGCCTTCGTGCAGCTGATCCCGCCATCGACGCAAAGGACCTCGCAGCGCCTTGGCATGACGAAGGCAAACACAAATCTGTTTGTGAACTGCGGCGTGCTAGGGCGTGCTGCGAACCAGCCGGGAAGCATGTCATGAACAGCATCCGGGTCTCTGGCTCTCAAGTTTCGTCTTTCCAACGCGTCCTTGCCATGTGTAAAGGCTGTAACAAAGTCAGCCCAGCTCCGCTTTTCCGTGAAGGACCCACGTTGCATCCTGATGGTTGTGGCTCTGAGTGCAAGGCTGCCTCTCTCAGGGTTGGCTTCTCCAGCTGTGTAGTCGCGGCCTCGACCGACTGGCACAGCAGCTGAGCCAACCTTCTCGCGGTCACAGTGTAGGATGTAATGGGGCAACCTCTACTATGAAACGATTGAGCCTTGCTGCCTCAGCCATGTACAGAAACACTGGCAGAAGCCGGGCCAATGCCGATGCTCTTATGCTCAGCGAGGGGCACGGCGAGCAAAGAGGAGCTTGGCCTTGATGCGACCGCCTGTGGGAACCCGAAAAACAAACCGAAAAAGCAAACAGCAACAACCCAAAACAAACACACGCACTCGTCTTGTCAGTACCGAAAGCAAACAGAGCTATGATGACATGCTGATGCTAGCTGCTAGAGCAAGCGCCGCGAAAACATTTGCCAACGGGACCTAGTGCTCACCTTGTGTCATTTTGCGCCTCGAAGGGTGACCGGAGCAGTGCGGCGGCGAGGAAGTACACCGTGGTGGGTGGGTCCTTGGTCGCATGCCAAAAAAGTACCAAACTACCGGTAAGTACCGACACATTGCTATTCAGAAAGCATGGCCATGGTAAGTTTCCTGTGCTGTACAAGCCGCAAGCAGGCCACTGAGATCCGAGCATGCTCGATTGATGCACTGCCCAGCTGCTCCCTAGCAAAGCGTGATCTACTGCAGCAGCGCAGTAAATCTTGCTTGCCCATCAGGTTCAACAATATTCAGGAGCGTACAGGAGCTTTGAGGCCAGCTCGGCAGTGCCACCCTCGGCAGGAGGACACCTTCGTGCGGCACCACTTAAGCATATGGCAAAGGCCACACACACATGAGGGCTCGAATTCACCGGCGAGGCGTGAAGGCAAGAGCCACGAAAAACAAACTTTTTGAACGCGATTCACAGCACGACACCCCAATAACCAAACCAACATGCTGTACGGCTCAGATCTGTACCACCTACCAGCACTGACTGTACATGGTGTTGAGGGCCATTGCACGGCACGCAACGCTTGCTTCGCAAAGGCTGCATTGCATGGCCGTGAAGATTCACGTTCCAGCTTGCAACAGGACTTCTGATTCTGGTGCTTTGTGACATCAAAAAGCACTTGGCAACAGCCAGAACTGTCCTGCACGACATGCAAGTTAAACTTGTGAATTTTACCGGCGGCGCCCGCAATCAGAAGCGTCCAGAAGCCGCCATGGGAGTTCCCCTTTGGAGGGATGCACGCTTGCCTGAGACACGCACTGCTGTTAAATAGCACTGACGGAACTCACACGAAAGCCAAGATGTGTCCGTACTGTATCTTTTGCGTAAATTGTAGGCCACGCAACCCCCCTCCACGAGAGAGATGTGCGCAAGCATCCCTGATAAAGGGCCATGAAGTGTTGCTTGCACGGCACCTGCCAAGGAGACCGCTCCAGAACAAAACTCCAACAAAAGTACAAAAGTCTCCATCGCATCTGAAACTGCCAACTGCGCAAGCTCCAAGTCTCCACCAAGCTGGGCTCCTGACCGATATGTGAGCGAAGAGGCATCCAGCGCAACCCCTGCCGCAGTCCATGCCTGAACGTGCACAACCCATGTTGGAACATCTTGCAACCATGACCAGCAGCCGGAAGTGAGAGCTTCCGGAATGACATTAAGCTTTACAGTATTGTGTGTGTGTGCATGCTGGGACAGCAACGGTGATTCTTTCTCAGGTGTTCGACGGCACCAGTCCATGTTTTCTGGATTCTGCTCTCTCGCCCAGCTCGGCTATGTGCACTGGCGCGGAGAAGAATGCCACACGCTGGTAGCCTCACAGGAAGGATCGCAAAGTCAGGATGGAGCAGCAACGGTCCCATGTGGCGGGGTCTGGCCTCCAGATGACGAGTCCAACTCGAACAGCTCCATCTCAAGGCACCAAACTTCTGGAAACAAATGTGGAGAAACTCACTGCGGGAATGCGATAAGGTCGCCACAACTAGGATAGCAACTTGTGGTGCGGCGATGTTGAAGCCCTCACAATTCCATGCAGCTTGATGGGGCTTGAAGCCCCCACAGGACTTCATGCTGCACGTGATTGCAAGGCGGTGTGTCCAAGTCGGGCGAATGCAGATCAAACTAGCGAAGCTGAGTAGGGTACCAGCCCAGCGGCCTGCGACACGCGAAAGGCTCTGCAAGTGTGCTGTCCGAGCGTCCGCGCTCAGAATGCTCTGCCGTCCAAGGCGCATTCGGCCACTCAAGAACGGCACCAGAGGCTCTGACTGGCTGGTAATCCTCTTCCAAGCTGAGAAAAAGAATGCACATGCAGTGAAAGCGCTGGCATATTCAATCTCATGGGCTCTCGGTGGCTTCACTGCGGCTTCACTGCGGCCCTCCTGACGTGCACAGTCCGCAGGCGCACCCCAAACACTCGCGCTGAGAACCTCAGATCGAAGCACATCAAAAAGCAAGCACACAGGAGCAGAACACTTTGCCACGCGCAGGCACAGAACCAGCTGCGATTCTCGGCAGATCAACCACTACTTGCTGAGACCATGGCCACAGGGCCCCGGGGCCATGGAGTCTCGTCTATGCCAGGCACAGCTCGTGCGGCAAGCAAGCGAACCTGGCCATTTGTTCAGACTGCACGTTCCTGCTGACCCCTGCCGGGCCCCTGCCCTCCTCTCAAAGCTCTCAAGGCGAAAATGACGAACACAAAGTGACACCTCAACATAGATCGGCTTTGGTGGTGGTGCCGCAACCTGCCAGGGACTTCGCTTTAAAATGCAGCAGCCAAAGCCAACCTCAATGCCTGGCCTCGAGGCTGTCTTCTTGTCGGACGCAATTTCTCAGGTACGGCGGCTTTCTGCAGCGCAAGGCGACACGCACGACAGCTAGTCACCGTTCATACACATCCCCACCAACCGCGGCGAGCTATGCGAAGCAAGGCATGTGCCCTTCACTTGCCCGGACTTAGGCTGAGACCCTACAAGCCCACAAGCAGCTGCCCTGCACCAGCATACGATTTATGGCAAGCGTCAGCACGTAGCCACAGCCCCCATTGAGTGAGAATAGCCCGGCTTGCACCAGAGTGGCCTCAGCTACCAAGCCATGCGCCTTCGAACTCATACAAGCATACACACAAGTTGAGGCTTCGCCTGAAGATAAGCTGAGGTCTCAGACACCATCCCCGCGAGTTCCGCCGGAAGCTACCGTCATGGCTGCCATCTGGACCTGAGCGCGACCCGGGACCCGCAACACCAGCGTCGGCGTCCTCGTTCTTGTCGTCATCGTCGCCATCATCACCACCACCGCCATTGTCATCAGCATCATCGTCGTCGGCACTGCCATCATGAAACACCCAAACAAGAGTCAAAGCAATACATGTTCCCAGGATGCCAAGCGGTGCCAAGCACCGGACACCGCATGACCACGCTGCGGCCAGATTGTAGTTGGCCTGTGTCGACATGTGTCGACATGAGGCTTGTCATCTCTTGCCGAAGCTGCTTGAAAGCTTCTTGGGCTATGAGCCTTCTTCTTACGCAAGCCGAGGGATGCGGGGGCTGTCATGGCTTCATCCTATATGTCGAGAAATGAAGGGCCCCACTCCGTTTTCACACGATTGTGTCTCGCGTTTGAGCAAACGGTCCAAGATGTCGCGCGATTCTGTTCCTTCAATTCTTCCTTTGATTTTTCTTTGCAACTAAGGCGAACTTGAGTCAGTGCACACGTCACAAATCTTTGGAAAATACCATCAACAAATCTGCGCAGATATGTTAATTTCAACAATCTGCATGTTGTTCATCAGTCGCTTTCATACCATGCAGCTCTTTATCAATTTATCAAATCTGCCGCAATGTCGCTACCCTTTGAATAACGAAAGAAAGCCTCCTCCTAGCGAAATCGCATGCTGGACATCTTTTATTGTGCAGTGAGGTACTAACCCTAAACCCTTTTGCAGCAGGCTTGCAGAACGTCCTCGCCTGGATGGAGCCGTCATCCCAACAACCCTAAACCCTAAACCCTAAACCCGTTTTTTGAAACAGGAGCTGGGACATATGCCTGGAAGTGAGACTCAAGCGCCTACACGTGCTTACACCAACAAAGAACACAGACCCTAAACCCTGAACCCTAGACCCTAAACCCTAAACCCTTTTGACCCTAAACCCTTGGCTTGTCATGTTCCGACGAGCCGAATCTCGGACAGAGCACCGGCGCATCTCGAGGAGCCAGTGGGAAGGTCAGCGTCAGGTATCTCGGCTGCAGATTCTGCGGCCGACGGGTTCGGGAAAGTTCAAGTCCATGAAGCTGCTATTCCACGAGATTCCACGAGGCATTTAAATGGTACACGACTCATGGCTTGAGAGGAGGTGAACATGGGTGAACCTGCGGTGCAGGCTGTTCAGCTCAGACACTGCCTGTGGTACTCGAGCATCGTTTGCCTGCAGCTCAGGACATAACATCCGTGCTTCCCATGCAGACCCAATTGCTGCAACTTCTTGTGGTTCTTGTAGGTCCGAGGGCGACAGAAGCCAGTTTATTGCAGATGAGCGACTGCTTGAACTCTGCCAGACTGCAGAGTTCATCGGACGGCAAAAAGCCTACCTTACAAAGCTTCCATAATACCAAGAAACTACACCCTGATAACTTCTGGCAAGACACGTCTCGATCTCTCGATATGCTCTACAAGTGGCAGTGATTCCCCCACGTGGTTGCTGAGCAAACTTCTGGTCAAAAACCTGCAGTCTAAATCTGCATGAAGAAGACGTGCTCGGTCAGGTCCGGTGGACACACTCGCAACATCTGACAAGCACAAAGCTTACTTGATGACAAGGTCACCTGCCTGCCCACACCAAACCGCAAAGCGGTTGGCAGCTTCTTGCCATGCCTCTCCGCAACAGGAGCTGCCGCAAGGTCATGATGGCGGTTTGGTACACTCAGCCTGGCCTCTACAACCTCATCAGAAGTCTCTGCATCTTGCCAGCGCATGCTGTAGCCTGCATGAGGGTAGAAGCTATCAGAACTGTCTTACCCTGTGAAGTCTTGCATGGTGCGTTGCCTTTCTGCAACCTGCGGATGGGTTGTCTTGGTGGCTCCAGCGCAGGGTCCATGTCGCATGCCGGTGCCAGGACGACCACCTCACAGCAAACATTTCTAGTAATGCGTGACGTGAGATATTGTGCAGTGGCGATTAGTAGGGAGGAAGTTTCTTCCTGGGTTTCACCCTTTCAAGCTGAGCACTGCACGACATGGCCTTTGGCGGCTTCGGGCGACGGCATCTCTGCACCACTCCTACAAAGCATGCCCTTGTGCCTATTGCCTGAGGACTAACTTCATACTGGCACGATGCCGCTCAAGCTCGACGACAAATTTGGGAAAGAACACGCATCTTGCACAATCCTCCACAAGCGGTCCCCCAGTTTGTCGAAAAGTACTTCGGCCACCTGTGCCATGGCTGCTCGTAGCCAAGGAAACCGTCAGTGGTACATGCGAGGCAAACCTTATAAGTTGCGCTGCGCATGACTGGGCATGCCTGTCCACGCGACTGGGAGGAGGGAAGCTGGCGCAGGCTAAGCACCAACCTCAATGAACCCCCCTCGTGCAGAAGCCACTGTCTGATCAAGGCCCAGAGTACCGCCTGTGGAAACTGTACTCAAGCCCGCGGCAGGAGCGGATACTGAACCATCTGAAACCCTGTCATGTCGTGAGCATTCAAGCGTGCATTGTTTTGTGCTCGACATATACTCTGGTTTTGCACTTGTCCAACATCTTTCAGGCCCAGTAGCCCTCTGATGCTATCAGCTCCAGCACATCCTTATG